ACCAGAACCCACCAACTTCTACGATTCATCTGATAGCTCCGGCTTTACAGGCTCCTCCTTTCCGACCACCTCAGCTGAGACTGCAGGAGCTTTTCATGATGATTTCAGCCTGATTGTAACTCAGTCACTACCAGCTGAAAATAATGCAATGACAGATCCACCAACCCTTCATGATTCAGTATCTGTAAAGCAAGATGACAACGCAGACCCATTCAGTGCAGTCAACCAGACAAGTGGGCAGATTGCTGAGTTAGACATATTTAGCTCAAACGATTTCTTCTCTCAGCCCGTTCTCTTTGATGTACCTGAGCAAAAAGCAGCAGGAGGTTCCGCCAATCAGTTTTCTGCCTTTCCTGATGATATCTTCGGAGTAAGCCATAGTTCAGACATTGCAGATATGTTTCCAATGCAGTCAAGCAACCCTAACATTTCTAATGCATTTGATGATTTACTCGGATCTGATGCATCTTCTACCGTGGCCCCTACCCCACAGATAGACCCTTTTGCGGGGGACATTTTTGCCTCAGATGGATTGCTATTTTCAGTTTCAGAACAAAGCAATGCTAACGTCATGGGGGACAGTCTGCTGGTAACCGAAAGTAACAACACAGAGCAGAAATCAGAGAGCAGCAGCTGGATGGATGATTTGCTTGGGTGAAGACAGGCTTTTGCTCTAACATCTCTTTATGTATACTCAGACAAAACTGTAGATATATGTAATACAAAAAATATTTCACTAACTTACATGTATTTCTTCACAATTAACACTAGAATCTTTTTTTTTTTTTTATAAACTTTGTTTAGTTTGTACTTTTGTATCCTGAAATTAAACAGAAATACAAATTTGTGATATGAATATGACGAGCTTTTCTTAGCACACTGACTTGTGTGATTGTGTGTTAATACATTCAAAGATTTAACATTTTAATAGAACTGTATCTTGTTAATAATTTTCTCTGGATGTATTCATTAAAGACTTATGTGTAATAAACTCTCCTAACTGGATATTTTGGGGGGTGGGAAATATATTACATTAAAATGTTTACATTTTCATTTTAGGTTTGAAATAACGTGGCAAGTTTACTTTGAAAAAGTACGAAGAATAATATTCATTTACTACAATTTAATGCTGAGAGTTTTATAGTTGAGTTCAGTTTGTTCACAAAAATAGTACATAAAATGTCGTTAGAGGTCCTGATAGTCTTAACAGAAAGAGGGGCCCGAAATCAAATTGTGCAAGGAGCCCCATTTACACACCTTAGGTTAGCCCTGCTAACCTAAGGTGTGTAAATGGGGCTCTTACAGTACCTCTTACTGCACCTCCATGCACCCCTGTGCTCCTCTATGAAAGAACAAGGACTTTTAATCTGATTAGAGGCAAATTTTCTAACAACAGTTGAAAATATTTTTTTCATAAAACAACCTTTGCATCCAGTGGACAATTTATTTTTACAGCTCATTCCCTAGGATAAGTGTATAATTTAGCATAATTATCAACATCATTGCACAAAAAATAAATAAAAACTAAGAAATGATTCCCCATAATTTGCTGTTCAGTTTTTATCAGGCGAACAACGCTGAATGGAACCTGCATCATAAACAAATGCCAGCCTTTTTTCTGGTGTTTTTACAATGAACATTTCAACACATGCAAGTAAACAATATCAATAAAATAAATATCTTAATTTAAAAGGAGGTATTTGGATTTTTCTGCACATTTTTGTCATCATTTGACTCCTCAAATGCAAGGCGAACTTATTCTTCACATGTACAGAAAAATTTGTTCTCTGTCAGGAGAGCAAAATAATGTACCGTACTTTTAAAAACAGGAAGGTTTTGTGCTGTTAAGGACATGTACGTGGATTTCCCAGGAGTTCTGGACTTGAGTTTTTGTGAAGAATAAAATGTCTCTGCCAAAAAAAGAACACTTTGTTCTTGTCATTGCAGCCTCAAGTAAAAAGAACACGTCTAATGTTTTTTTGACAAAAGTTAATAATCTTATTTTCTTAAGAGGAGACATACTGTAGTGCAGGAAGAACACACATTACAGAGACAGACAGAACCACTGAGAACTGGGCTATGACAGCTAACATCATTTAAAGAGGAGGTTTTAGGAAGGGGGATTAAATAAATGAAGAACAAATAAATAAACCACAACTGTGTCATAGTCAACCAAAAGCACTACCTTGGAGACTTGCAACACTAAGTAAGACAGAAGGGCCTTGTATTGCCAGAGTGAATTGTCTATAAATAGTTTCTCCAACAGCCACAAGGAGAGAAGTCTGTAGATATTTTAAAAGCACCGAAAAGGATCTGTGTCAAACCGAATGTTAAAACCTAAGTTCCCTAAGTCCTGTTAATAAAGTAACGCTCTCACCTTCATATATCCAGATTAGTCAGATTCTTGGCTGTACATCGCTGAGAACTTTCATTAGAATTAGGTGAAGGAAACTTAGTGAAAGGCTGTAAATTCACATAGAAAAGAACAGCAATGGCCTTAAAGGCAAAACATGCCACAAATGCTTTAGTGCTAGTGTGATCAGGGCTGAGTAAAAGGTTGCTGCAACTCAAGTCAATACAAAAGACATAGAAATGTTAAAATATAACCAGTACAACAAAAGGGTTAGGTTTGCTTTAAATGCCTTTCCCTGATCTTTCAAAAATGTTAATGAAAACAAATGCTCTTGCCTTGGCCTTTTTACCAAAGTGAAAACATTTTGCTGGTTTCCATTTTCTATTTTTTAGTAACCACTTAATTCTAAGGTGTGAATTGAGTGTAGGTTTAATTTAGCATTAGGCATTAACTGATTGGGTTTAGGGTTTTTGTCAGTATTACTAAATAGATGGGTTGTAAATAACAATCATCCATCCATCCATCATCCGTCACACTTCCCGAGCGGGGTCGCGCGGTGTTCTGGTGCCTATCTGCAGCTGTCTAGGGGCGAGAGGCGGATTACACCCTGGACAGGTCACCAGTCCATTGCAGAACTGACAATAATTGGAAGTCCATACAAATCAACCCATGGTCCTCACTATGTATAGCAAGATAAGAAAGTGTGTAAGTGTTTAATAGGGATGATTGAGTGTCTGTGTTTAATATCAAAAAGCTTAGCTATTTTATTTAGTGTGATATTTAAATTCTGCTGCATGTTAACACATAACATAACAACTTAACAGCCTACATTTACAGAAAACTATCAGACAAGAATATATTATCATGATTACAGACAAACACTCAGAGATGCAAAATCCTCCTCTTGTTTAATTACAATATCAGGCCAGAGGGTGGTGCAATTTGTACTTTCTTAAAGATCATGTGGCTCATGAAATGTAATTTAGAAATGAACCAACCTTTCCTAAATTTATAGTATTTAATCAGTTGGAAGCACTCAGAAAACAGCCACTAATATATTTTTTGAAAATATGGGGTTAATGTGAGTAATTTTTGAATAAACAACATACTTCACAGTAATCAGAATCAGAATCAGAATCAGAAATACTTTAATAATCCCAGAGGGAAATTACTTTTGTTACATGCTCTAGTTACAGTTTTTACATGATATATACACACATCCAACTATACAATATAATAAGATAAAAAATAAGAATAAAAAGAGATAAAATATATATACACATATAGCTCTTCTG